GGGTGGGGGGGTGAGTGGGAGAGGAGGGAGAGCAGTTAGTGTAAGTTGATGAGGATGAGAAGCAGCAGTCTGTGTCAAAGCTCACTGTCTGGCCAGCATGTTCTCACACAGCTCCCTGTCCAGTCGATTGCTACATTCTGCTGTGAACTATATCACTGGAAAATCCAGCGGCCCCACTCTGTTGTTCTGTTTCATTAGTCCAGACTGTCAAATGCACACTGGGTAAACAACGTCTGACACAAGTGGTTGCCTGAGATTGGTCTGTTGAGTCTGCTTGGATTAAAGCCTGACCTGGTCAGAGTCTGACATGTTTTCTTTACAGAACTTTCCCTGTGGGTCTCCTAAGAAATTGGACTGAGATATTTATCTCACCAGCAAAACTTTCTGGGTTGTTTGAGAGGGTTCAACATTAAGCCAAAATGTTATTTCAAAGGAGGGGAGACATTTTAGAAAACTGTAAAACATGTTGTTTATTTGCAGCACTTAGTGTTTGATGTTCAACAAATCAGGTTCCTCTGATGTCTTATAGACTTAAAATCTAAATTCCAATTTGAATGCCTAGTAGTCCTGTTTACAGCTGGCAGAGACATTGAGCGCTGAGACAGACAGACTAAATGACCTTCCAATCTTTGCCATTGAAAACAAAACCCTGAAAACAAAAACTGCCAGTGGTTAAAGTAAAAAAAGTCATGTTACATTTGTGCCAGATGCTACCTCTGCATTGAGCCATTCACAGGGTCTGAGGCCAATAGACAGAGACTAAACATTACATGTAAACCACTGCAGAGAAGGAATGGTTTCTAATGTCAGCTGGAATGACCTCATGAGCTCATGACTCCTACTAAACCCTGACAGATCTCAGGTAAATAATGATGCAAACTCTTATAGCCATGGCGATAAGCAAGCGAGAGTGAAGCATGCAAGAATCTCAGGGCTGAGCATTTTAAGTAGTCTATCCCTGCATTAGCCTTAAACAGTGTGACCACAGAGACACCTAGTGGTCAAAGAAAAGTGTTACAGCCTCAACAATTCAATTCAACTCCTAGTAATATGTACATTTGAGAAACTTACCCTAGCAGTGGACTACAATAATCACCCTGTAACTTATATTTTTTGTAATATTAAAATAATTAATTCTCTGGTGCTCTACTATCATATTAATATGAATACAAAATGCCCAAATGAATGTGGACAGCTCTTGCAGTTTAGAAGGAATCCCCTGAGTTGTATTGTTTAAAGTATAAAAAGTTCTCTGCATTATTTATTTATTTTCTTTAGCCACCTTACACCTATGTTACATTCAGTCACTCTGCTACACATCCAGGAAATGCTCTGAAATTTGATGATAAGATCAGTAAGAAAAAAAAAAAAAAAAGGGTGAATGAAGGACGAGGGGTTGAAAAAAGTTGGCATATGTCGATCTGTATAGTCCTGTGTTTCTGAAAGGCGTTTCGTTTTAATGTATGTTTACCACCGTTTCAGAAACAGGAGTATCTGTGTTTGAGCAGTAGCTCAGGGTCGGGCGGTTTGTGGGCCCAACTGAGCTGAGGTCAAAGGTTAACAGATACGGCAACGATTGATGGAGAGATCAGGTCGATTTTAAAATAACAGGAAAATCATGAGGGGCACATAAGAAAAGAAAGAGGGAAGAGAGTGGATCAGTTAAAAACATACAAGAGAAGCTTTAAACTGTCGATGCGCATTTAGTGCCACTTTAAGAGAAGAAATGGTGAGCAGAGAGAAAAATTTGGTTTCATAATAACAAAAACACAAATCAACACTTGTAACAGGGATGCAGAGAACTGTTACCTAGTTGTTATATTATACGTATAGAAACCAAATTCCATGTCAAAGACTAATTGACAGGAATTCCTCAGTGGGAAGAGGAATCTATTTTACAACATGGATGTTTTTTCACTTTTAATATTACAACAATACATTTTTTATTAACTTATTGAGAAATTTCAAAAGTAAAGTACTGTGAAATAAAATTATCAATTGTTTCCTTACATCCTTAGTGACATAACAGCTTACTTTTGCCACACCTAGAAGAAACTAGTTATGAGTTAAACACCTAATATGATTATGTCAACTCTAGTCATTTGGATCTATTGTCTAATGCAACTATGAAATCCAACACTTCTCCAAAACATCTGGATCAAAAGGCTAAATTATCTCCTTAGTATGACATCAAGCTCTGCAGAGGTCAGATAATGAGCCATGCATCTGGTTTAGATGAGTTAGAACTAATCTAAATCAGAAAATCACTTTTTTTCAGTGATGCAGAAAACAGTTATGCAACTAGTCCTATATATTCACCAAATTCTATAACAAAGATCGACAGGTCTTTTCGCAAAAATAATAAAAACTAAACAATCTTTAGTTTAGTTGCTAACAAGCTGGCCGACTAAAAGGTCCAGCTAATAGTAAAATTGGCTCAATTTAGGTCATAGCAAATCTCTTAGTAAATCTCTAGTAACAAAATATACTTTTTTGACTGACTGAGGATCAGGCCAACATAGTCACCTGTCGACAGAGTGTGCGTCCTGTTGGAGGTTGTTGTGGAATGCTTTCAGAGTCTGAGTGGCTGTGGGAGATGGTCAGCTGCTGGGAAAACTTCTCCGGCTGTGAATGCACCGAGTCTCTGGAGCCTGTACACATAGCCAATAAGAATACAGAATTACTGCACTTCAGAGGTGTTGACCTCACTGGACATTACCTGCAGCTTTCCAAGCAAATGTCAAGTTGCATAAAGTGTAGTTAAGATCTCTACCTGATTTGGCCCTGTGACTAGCCGCTAAGTGCTGGGGCTCTCTTGACTGTGCTACATGCTGTGCTGAAGTTGGAGAGGAGGGGCCAAAGGGGTGTGGGGGGTAGAACATGTGGCTGTTGGGCAGAGAATTAGTGCGCCCCACTTTGTCCTTTCTTAGCTCGGGCTGTAAACATAAAGAAGAAAGTCAGGATCCTTTTAAGCTTTAATGGGATATGGCTGCTCCTTAACTCAAGCATTTTCACAGATTCATTAGCACATTTACAGCCGTTACCTCTATGATACATCACATGCACATAAAGACCATGATTATTAGCATATACAGAGAACACAGGATCTTTAAACTTTTATGAAGCAAAATATTTTCTTTTTGTATAAAAAAACCTTTTTATAGCGTGACCCTACAGAATCACTTGATATCAACAACAGATTTTTATAGGTTCTTGCAACACATCACAGTGACGTAAACAAAATAGCTCTAAGTAGAGGAAAACTTCTATGCCAGGGTACATAAGATGGTACGGACAGAGACGCGCAGAAAAAAAACTTGAAGAAGAGACGTGCACTCACATCTTAAGCACAGAGTAAAAACAAAGCTGACAGTGTGAAAGAGGAACAGAAACAGAGTAGAGTTAAAACAGAAATTGATTAATTGGCAGGTGAGGCGGTGTACTACCCTACTAGACTGGAGCGAAAAAAATGAACATTAGGCTGGAATTATGTAATGAAAAAGAGAAATTTAAGCATATTTTTAGCTTCACCACGAACTTTCAAGGCTACTTGCTACTCCTCTACACGACTCCTTCACCTTCCACTGACATTTTATCATTACGCCAATCGAGCTCTAATATGCTGAATGTAACACTTTCTTATCCTCTATGTTTTAGGTTTTTTTTGTTGTTGTTAATTGCTACTGTTTACTCCTGCTCTGTCTTTCCACACTTGTTTGGATTTTGTTTATTTTGGCTTGCAGGGAGCAGAAAAATAAATCTATTCATCCTGTAAACTAATGTGTGTTATTGTGGTAGAAATGCATTGCACTGCTAAATATTCATTAGAAAGCCATAACCATTACAAGGCACTGGTGTTTGTATTCCAAGTCAAAGTGTACTAACTAAAAAATAGTGGAAACTAGCGCTTCGTTTAGGATTTGATTCCTAAAAGAGCTGTAGCTTAAAGCAATGTTGCTTTGTTTGTTTTCCCACTGAAAGAGTGGGTCCTTTCCAAGTAATCTAGCTTTTGCCCCACAGTACAAATTTCTTGAATCATTTGTGCTTTCACAAACAAGAATCCATCACTTAGTGCTCCCACTTAAACCTTTTGAGTTCAACTTGAAACGGATCAGCCAATCACGTTGCAGCACTACGGTTTAGGGTAGGATAGGCAACGTTGGTTCTTGTGTGCCACTGCCCTGCAGTTTTTGCATATATCCCTGCTCCAACACACCTGAAACCAAAGCCCACATTTCCTCCTTGGTATGTCAGTAAGTTAAGCAAAGGCCTTTCAATTAACCATTTATTTGTTTCAGGTGTGTTGAAGGGATGCATGCACAATATGCAGGGCAAGGACACTCAAGGACCAACATTGCCTATCTCTGGTTTAGAGGCAAATAGCTTTAATAAAAGCAAGAGCTGAAGAGCCTAAAGCTAAACCACAATAAACATAGAAGTGCAGGGGGATTTAACCATAGCTGCTGCTATGACATAAATTTTGTCAGAATCCCCAACTTCTTCTTTAAATGAGGAACAGTAAGAGCATGTAAGAGTTAGTTGTTGTGGTCTCTAATGCCATGTTGTGCTATTTCAATTTTTAGCTTGACTGTATAGAACCAAATTTTGGCCGAAAGGTTCAGCTGAATTTCCCTCCTTTGCTCAAACCGATTTGATCAGAGGAGTCCCAGATTTGTAATGTGTACAGTAGAGCTTAACCTGGGTTACCTCGTGAGTGTAGCTGAGTGTAGACTGGGCGCAGTATTCTAGCTCAATCTAACATGGGCCTGCAGGCAGTAAGCCTGACCAGATCCAACCAACACTGTGTGGGACTGTTGGTTGGGCCCCAATGTTCATGTTGTGCAGTTTGGGCCCACATGTTGATGTCATGCAGGTCACATGCAGGTGAAAGCAGACTCATGTACTTTCTAGTCCCAGGATGGGCTCCATCCTTACTTGGAGCAATCTAAATCGAATTTGATGTAGATGAGAAATATTGATCAGAATGACAAGTGGGGTATTTTATACCTAATTACCCATGATACCCATATTTCTTTCTCTGACCCTGATTGACAAGTGGTAAAGTAGATGGATGGACAGACAGATGGTTGGAAGGATAGATAAAGAACGGATGGATGAAGGGATGTCAAAATTTACAATGGGCTAAAATATATGGACAAATATAAGTAATAATCAGAAATGACTAGAGACAGATACATATATAGATAATAGTTGATGTCAGAGTTTTGTATTATGTTTTGCAAAATATATTTTTTAAAAGTAGTATTTTGAACATGTACACATTCTTATGAAAAGGAATGTCTCATCAAAGCTGTCAATCTCCCTTTCCAATATCTCACCAGCAGAAAACACAGTGAATACATGCACTGTATGTATGTAAAGATGGATGGATGAACACATGGACTGGTTATCTGCATCAAGAGAGTAGAATCATACTATAATTGATATTAAGCAACATAGTGTATATCAATATCGACTTAATGAATATATGTAACATATATTATTATGATAATGATTATGCAAACTTAGTCATAGTCTGAATGAATTCTGCTTTGAAAAGTTATATGATTACATTCTAAGTGTGTGTTGTTCTAATATTTTTAATGTGTATACATTATGTACTGTGGTCATATTGATCAAAGTGATCGTACTGTAAGAGTCATACCTAATTTAACACATAATTATTCAATATTTATTGTTATTAACAGAATTTTCTCTGTAAATTGCTTAAGGAATGTAAATATAAGATAAGATTATACCTAAAATGGATTAAAAAACTTTTTTGGGAATAGGAGAACAGTAGCCTGTTTGTTCCACTTTAGTATCTTTCAGTAGACATCAATTATTTTTGTCATTGCATGTTGAGTTTCCACCTTAATGGATGGCTATCCATTCAGGATAATTGTAATAATTTAGTGCATTAGAACAATCTTAATTGCCAAAAACCTGAGTTGCTCAAAAACAGCTTAAGGCTCAGAATCAGCTGTATCCAAATGGCAATAATTTTCTGAGTATACAGAGAGCCTTCGTCAATTATTGCAGGTAGATTTTTAGGTTATGTTTCTTTTCTTGCATTAAGCTAGGGATCGAGGATTTTTTTTTAAATTATTTGTCAAACAAATTTTTAGGAGTTTGTGTAGTAGGAGTACAAGTTGCTGTGAAGGTTCCCTGGGAAGGAGACAGTACAAGCCACTGTAGGACGGAGCACGGGGAAGAGCAATGAAGAGGTGGAAAGAGAAAACTGTCAGTACATTGCATTCCAGGGCGGTTAGAAAGAGGGGGTTAAAATCATCAGGGGCCGAGCCGTCTGTCAGAGCTAGGGACCAGGATTTCTCTGAAGCCAGAGAGAGTGCTTCCATCTCGGCTAGAGGGATCTAGGCAGGAAGAGACAAAAACAACGCTAACTCCGAATGACACAGTTATAGAAACACAAATGGATAAAACCTGAAGTGGAAGGGATCACTAAAAACCTGGTGTAGGCCTAAGATCTGACAAATGATATTTAGATTTTATTGCAAGTGTCTCCCCTGGCAACACAATTCCCCCAACTATAGAAAATAAGAGTAATCATCCAGTTTTTTTTGTGCGTTTCAAGCAAAAAAAACATCTTTGTGATATTTAACTTTCTTGATGTTCTAATAATAAGAAGATTCATAAATATTGTAAAAAGAACCTTTGAAAATGTTTATTGAATCACATGGTCAACATATGTGATATCATTAATCGTCATTATTGTAGCTTAGCGCTGTAAGTCAGTACAGAAGCATAATTATTTGATTATAAGGCTCATATCCATTGAAACAAACTACAAATTTCAGTCTGTGAGTCAAACACCTTGTCTATTTTCAAGACTTGATCTGAAGCCTTCCTTTCAAATAAAGCTTATAGTAAAAGGAACTATCTCTTAGAGAGCAATGGATTTGTTCTCATGGATAGTTATAGACTTTGGTTGCTGGAGGGCATAATGACCATCTTTTTTTCTTCATGCAGAGAAAAGTTTAATGTCAGAACTGCTGAACAATTTTCTATTCTTCTCGTTTTAAAAGTCACATACTGTATGTTCCATTTATTTGAACATCAGCAGTTATTCTCAATTAATAGACATTAGCAGAACTCAATTGTCTGTTGGATGCATTTTGTTTCACGTAACAGAGATGGTCATATAATCTTCAGGGTTTTTTGCTTCCATCTGTTGAATCTCACAATAGTAACTTAACTCAAAGAAGTAACATTTTGTACAGACCAAAATATCTCAGTTAAAAAACAGGTTATTCTGTTTTTCTTGTTCCATTGTGCATTGAAAGGCTCACTATAACTGGCCAGCAGGGCATAAAGAAACCCTTTTTTATTTCAGATACTATGATTTTTAATTTGTATTTTGGACAGCAGTTAACAAAACAAACACAAGTATTTTAAACAATCTTAAAATTCATGTGAAATAGAAAATTCTAGGTAGTTCAAAACTATAAGGATGAGCTGTGAAGGACTAAAATATGATCTGAATGCATATATGTCTAAACAAGTAGAATACAAATTACTTATTTTTATAAAAGTGTTGTAGAGAATAGCTCAATTCTGAAGGTGTCTGTACACACCTGCCTGATCTTAAAGAAGCATTAATGATAGAAACTAATCGAAAGAGACAGAAGCAGAACCAGAAATGGGTGAAAAACTACCCAGATGAAAAATGCTACAGAGAAGTACAACTTCTGTCATCTATTGCTTAAATTAAAATCCATTCAAAGCTTTTTTCAGATGGGATTTTGCAGTGATGACATACAATAACAGTCCAACCTTTGCCTTCAAAGGAAAGGCACAATTATGTATTATTCACTTTCATACTGCTTATTGATTGAGCTGTTTCCCTGCACTCTTGGAAGGTTTGCTCTATACTGGCCAGAGGAGCGCCTTGGGTGAGTGTTATCCCTTTGTTCTGATTGACAGGAAAAGCTGGTTATCAACTATACAGACAGGCAAAGTGTCACAGCTACAAACGGATATATTGACAGTGACAGTGAGGTGTGGAGACACAGGGAGCCATCAACCAGTGTTTCTGAGTTGACCAAACCTGACTGCAAACAAAATCTTTCCAAGAACGAATACGTTTAACAAAATGAGGGAATGTGATCTTTGCACTTATGGGAGGTGGCGGGCACTGCAGGAGGCAACGCGGCTGGTAGAGAATAAATGAAAAATATTCATTGTGGAGGAATGCCAGAACAAAAATGTAGATGACTGACTGCAGGGCTGCAAGGTAAACATTACATTGGATGCATACTTTCCCCAAGGAGTATGACAAGCTTTATAAAGAAGTTCTACACGTATATCTACGATCCTGTTAACAGTTTAGGCAAAATGACAATGTATTCATTAACAGATTTACTTCAGAGAATTTATTTTGGAAGTTGACAATGTCAATTTTAGGGTAAGTAAATGGTATGTCATAATATGTAAGAAAAACAACAAAGACACTAACCAACCATGGTATTTTGTTCAGAAAGTATAGTGCTATTAAGAAGCTAAATTATCTAATTAGTTACATATTTGTCTTAGATTTAATTGAAACCGTAAGACAAAAAACTGACAAAAAATATTTGGAGCAGCGGCTTTAAGCTGATGGTCAAATACGAGCATAATGTTTTTTTTGCAACTTAGTGTGGGATGCATTTCTATCAGGTAAAGGGAGGCAATTGCCTCAAAATACCAGATCGACCCATAATTTGGATTCCAATTACTGCATATTACTGGGTTAACTATGTGAATCACTGTATACTTTAATAATTAAGGGAAGTTCTTCCCTTTTCTCGGATTAATTATGTTCTTTAATCACATGATGTGGTTTCTGGCTCTAGTTAATGAGATTTTTTTTCTTTTTTTAAGAAAAGCATCATGCAGAATAGCAAAATATTTTATAATCTCTTTGCTGCATTATCAAATAGTGACAAATTTACAGTCAGGATTATTAATATCAAAACTTAAACTCAGATCTAGAGCAGGGCAAAAGCAAACCTAGGCCAAAAAGGGCATCATTTCTAAGGTGTTCTCTCTGCCATATAACTTTTGGAGCACATATTTGAAATTGAATAACAAAAACTACAATTAAAAACTATTTCTTTGTTAAGCATCATGGCGAAGGCAGCAGTTGTATGTATTCATTTGTTAGGACTTAGATTATACATTTAATAATACATATCTGGTCTACAAAGGAAGAATAATTGAAAATCGTAATATTTATTACCAAATCTCGGTCGGACAGAGGACACGAAATGCGAAAGACATTGAATAAAATTTCACTTTTCAAAATATTCATGTTATCCCATGTGTATATATATATGCACAGGGCCTCAGTAATACTTACTGAACTATCAACCAGAGAGTCAAGGTTTGGTACTCCTAAGGACATATTTAAATGCAGGAGATTTATATTATAAAATATGTATAAATACACTTAGCTAACATATCAAAACCTTGTATGAAATTAAAATTACATTAGATAATTAACTGCTCCCCAAAAACGGTTGATTTCACTGAAGAACACTAAAAGAGGGATGCAGGTGAATTATTAGCTAAAGGATGAAAATAGAAAAAAAAAACATTTATGTGCTTGTGTTTTGTTTTGGCTAATAGGATTTCCCTTTACTATTTGCTGTGAAGCTTTACAAGTTGTGTAATAAGCCAGTGGATGTATAGCATGGAGGAGGAGGTGAGTGATTAGAGGGTTTCTGGTGTTTATTGACCTTTTTGTCTCTGCTGTGCTTGTTGGGCCTGGGGGGCAGCGCGTAGAAGTGGCAGATCGAGCCGGACAGGTTGTCCATCAAATTCAGCTCTCCCTCCATAGAGCCCTGGATGACCAGGGAGATTGAGTCAAAAAGTGCTCTCCCCTGCACAAACTGGGACATCGGAGGGGAGATTACGAGAGAAAAGATTAAGAAAACAAAGGAAAAATAAAAACTGGAGGAAATTAGTGAAAGCCAAGATAGGTATATTAAGATATATACATATATAAACACAGAAAAATTAATAAATGAAGTAAAATAAAGTTTAAAAAGAAAGGAAATAATATGATCGATCAGATATGCAATAAAAAACAACTCAAAGCAAATATTCAGACAGGAGAATTTGATGATGATTTAGACATTTACCTATTAATGCTGTAAAGACAACAATAAAAAAGCATGCATGTGCTGAGCTTCAACCCCACAAGGGGCACTACAACACTGTAGTTCTGCTCTTGCAGCTGATAGAAAGGAGGTTTTGGTGAAAGACTCAGAGGAGCAGAGAGAGATGGGTAGCTTCTTAAAAGGGGAAAGATAACAATAGCAAGACCTCGATTTCCTATCCCCAGAAAGTTCCCCCTGCTGTCTGGAAATAGCAGTTGAAGTGAACAACAAGACCCGTGGCTGAGCTTTCCCATGGCACTGTGACCTGTCTCTGACTGGCATGCTGCCTTCAGGGACCAGCCACATACACACACAAACACAGGCAAACTCAAACACATACGCACATGAAAGAGGAAGTGATGATAACAAACTAATCAGCTGCATGAGTCAGAATAAGTTGCATAGAGTTGAACTAAACCTCTTTAAGACAGGTAAAAATATAAACTTAAAGAGTTAGTAGTTTTTGAAGTATCTATGGTTAACAGAGTTAACTTATAGAAAATAATAACAGTCATCCTTCTGTCATTAAGTCCCCAAAAACAGTTCTGCTTGTATCTAGGATACATTCCTGGGTTCCTGCAACGTATCTAAATGCCATAATGCTTCCTTTTCCCAATCTTTTTCTTTAGGTGGAAAGCCATTTCTTGTTAGGTGTATTATTAAGCCTTATATAATCACCTTTAATTGACACTGCAAAAGTGCATATTATTAAAGTTTTTCCTCTTCATTTGCAACATTTCAGAAGCAGTGGGCAACTTTTTGGAATAACCAGCAGGTATTTCTAGACTAAGAGTCTTGCTCATTGCCATGGTATGGCAGTCTGTGTTTTGAATTAGGGATCGTTATGTAAACGCCCCCCTTTTTAAACACTGGTTCAAAATCTCCTTTATAGATAAACTTATCAAATTGTGGATTAAACAGTGCTCTATGGAGTGTCAATAAGTGACATTTTATAACCTAACTTTGCTTTTAATTAAAATCCTTAAATTCAAATCAAGATACAGGGTCGAAAATCTTCAACCCTGGTAGACAAAAGCACAGCTCGTTAAACCATTAACAGAAGTTTATTAAAACATGGAGCACAGTTGAAAAGCCACAAACCAGATGAAGTGAATCATGTTGCTTGTTTTAAACAGCCATTCGAAATTGATCCAACAAAATAAAATCATTCTAACGAACTGGTGCGGCTAGATTAGACACAGGTGGACCCTATTAACCAACGGCATAACTTTTGAAAGCAGTTGGTTTTCCTTTATTCAGTTTAGGGATGTTAGATCAGAGAAGGCTAAATACAAATGCTATCAAGCTATCTTGTGTCTTATCTGATTTCCTTTGTGTTCGTATGTCACATACAATCTCTATAAAACACTGAGGCCTGCAGTTAAAATCAGGATGTCGAATAACGTAAAACTATGCATGCGGTAGTTTATTTGCACATTACATTAAAGAGTAACTAAACCCTGAATTTTAAAAACTTTAGTTTCCATCCAATTTTTATCTCCGGCAATCTATGGCGCAGAGGCAGGATAAACCCTAGAAAGGTCGTGAGACTGTCGCAAGGCAACACAAAGACACACAAACTTGCACATGCACACACACTCACACCTAAGGACAATTGAGGCCCCGTCCACACGAAGTCAAAACGAACACGAAACGCTAATATTTTCCAGAACGTTTGTCGTAAAGACGGAGACGTAAAATAAATGTGAGCGTCCTCACGAATGCATGAAAACGCTGCAAAATGTATGCCAGGCCTATAAGTGGCGCTGTGGTGCCAAAGCAAAAATAGGCGACGAAATGTTGGGCATGCCCACTAATATTTATACATGGTTGCCCTGCGGGTCCATTTTCGTGGTTAAGTCAAATTCAGGTGCTGAACTAAGTCGTCTATATTGCTCTGTTCTTCCTGGAGATATTCCAGAAGAAGAAGATTCTGTTGTAAGCCCGACAGCAGGGTGAGTAGCATGAGCAGTAACCATTCAACACAGTACGGCGCCATTGTTGTTGTGATACTGTGTCGCGTATGCGTGTTTAGAGGCGACGCTATGACGCATGCGTGTAAAAAAAAATATGCGGTTAGAGCTTAAAGATGGAAACGCGAAAACGGCGTTTCAAAATGTTCCCACTCTGAAGGCTGAATAAAAAAAAGATCGTTTACAGACCCCTGAAACGCCGGCTTCGTATGGATGAGAGGCTGGTTTGGTGAAAAATTTGTGCGTTTAGGCCAGGGTTCAGCTTCGTGTTGACGGGGCCTGAGAGAAGTCAAATAACCCAACAGTTATGTTTTTGGACTGTGAGAGAAAGCAGAGTACCTGGAGAGAACCCGCGCATGCTCAGGGAGAACATGCAAACTCCATGCAGAAAAATACAGAACCTTCTTGCTCCAAAGCAGCAGTGCTACCCACTGCTTTACTGTGCAGCCCCCAAATCTATACATATGTAAATGTTGGTAAATGTTGACATTTAGTAAAAGGATGTACATTTTGGAATTGGGTAAAAATCTGTCGTTTAGTCTTTAGATTTAAACTTTCCTGTTGATTCTCAGAATGTTCTGTTATTGATGATATCTAATCAATCAGAAAAAAATGGCTGTTGTAAGACCTTGAAAAACCAAACCAACACAATCTAACACAATCACATGCCAAAAAATGAATAAATAAATTACCTCTACCTGCAGCTGTGAGTCTGAGCAAGGTTCTGCATCGCTGTCTACAGATTTTCTGGTTATATCAGGAGTGGGAGAGTTGATAGGACTTTGCCTTTCCTGCTCCATGTCTCCTCCTCCAGATGACCTGAACGGGGAATCCTCCGAGCTCAATCTGTCTATGCCAGAGGCTAAGGGGTTGAGCTGGGGCGATCTTGATGCCATTGCCTCCTCCATTTGTGCCTCCAGATTCAACTCAGCCTCGAGCTCTGCCTCCTCTTTGGCCTCTTTATTGCTCTCCTCTAAGTGCTTCATCAGAACAGCGATGACCACATTGACCAGGACAAACTGGGCAGTCAAGACAAAGGAGACGAAATAGATGGGAGAGACCACTTTGAAGTAACACGTCCCATTGTTTGGTGAACAGTCCCTCAGAGTGTCCTGCAAAAGGGTGACAAAACATAAATAAGTCCCAGGACAGTATTTTTTATGTAGTTTGATAATGCATTGATGTTAATGCAGACACAACAATATAATTAAGTTACCCCCAAAGATGTAACCAAGAATCATTACTAATAACCTCCTGCCAATAGTCAGTTTCTGTTTCATCTTTGAAAAATGTTATTAATATAATTTTGAAGTCCAAATCATCAGCTTCATCACGTGGCACATACTACTGTATCACTCTCTTTAAGTCATTTTGCTTCGTATTTTTATATCTTAAACATTTAAATTTTTTTCACTTCACAAGCGTAAATGTTTTGTATTTTGAGAAACACACATAGCAGTGCAAAATCTTTAGGTGTTCTCCTTTGCTAAAATGCTGGGAAATGACAACTTGACCTGGTATGCATCAAATGGCCCTTAACTCCTGATAATAAGTCCTTGTTTCTGCTTATCTGAAATATCCTCCTCATGGCTGGTTTTCCTATGGAGTAGCTTCTGCCCTTTTTCTGGCTTTAGGTCATGCTTGTGGTAAAAGAAGAGAGCCAGAGAAGGCTGCAAGAATCAGGATGAAAAACCCCAGCAGTTTTCAGAAGTTTCGGTTTAAGCAAGACTTTCAGAAAACTCAGAAACACATCTGAGCAGAAACTAAAAATAATAATTGGTTCCATGTATCTGTTAATAATGGAAAATTACCATAATAGGCACATAGTAACTCTGGAGGAGTTGTAGAGATCCACAGCTCTGGTGGAATGCTGTATACATATGCTGTATACATATATGGCCTTTGCAGTTGTCTTAGGGAGAAACTATTTTTAAAAAAACTGAAGTGCCATTTGCACTTTGCTTGTTGCAAAAAAGACAAATAGAAAAGAGGCCGTGACTCTTTGGCTATCATATATGGCAGAAATAGTACAATGCAGATCATTCAAATTATAAATAGTTTGGTGAAAAGGTTTAAGGAACCTAAAACACCCTGTCACACCTTGACGATATATAGACCAGTGTAAAGTATGCCTGACGTATGAAAAATCTGTCAAAAATGCTGGCATACGTTGGATAAGTTATAGGTACGTTTTGTATATGTATATCAACATACGGCAAGTATGTTGAGTATACCAGCGTATGCCAGACATGTAAGTTACAGGTAAGTTCTCTGATCATTGACATATGTTACGAGAAAGTTACTCATAAGTTGTGGCGTCTAGCTTATCAAAAACATATGAGTAACTCCTGCATAACTTATCAAGAACTTATCTCCAAGGTATATCAATGTATTTGACATGTTTCAGACGACTGCTGAATGTGCTTCTAACTTACAGCTTCTGTTTAATGCTGCATTGGCAGCGTTTTGGTATATAGTCATTCGCTTCTAGAATTTATTCCTCCTGGAGGAACATGTTAAGACAGTGGGTAACATTTTTTAAAGAAATTAAGAGCCATGCATTATTTTTTGTCCATTTAACAATAATGTAAGATTATTTAATCTCAATTAAATACTAACCAGGCCAACTAATTAGCCAAAAACAGCATATTAGTCTGGAAAGGAGTGACTAGAGCCTGATTACAAAGGCGGGACCAAGAGAGCTAGCAAAAACAGTTTAGATCCAATAAGAAAGCTGTGGACGTGAAACTAACTTTTTTTTTCAAAGAAAAGCTTTTATTGTTGCCATTTATTGAAATTTAAACAATATAAATAACTTTTCTGAGACCTAATACAAAAAAAATGAAGACATCTGTTGCCATTTCAATGGTGACTGGTATGGTGAGAGAAAACTGCTGTTGCATTATGGGTCCACCTCCTGCGCTGCGATTCGTTCACTCAGTTTTAGATTAGAGATAATTGAGCATTATCAGACATGTAAGTCAGTGAAATTAGTGTACAGCATGCTTTTGCATCAAGTTTGACCTTCATAATGCCGTTCCAGTTGTCGCCAGTCGAAACTCTGAAGAGCAGCAGAAATGCCATCCCAAAGTTTTTAAAATTAGCGTAGCGACCCAGACCCTCACATGGATGGCTCTCATCACAGACTGCGGACAAGGACAGAGAGGAAACCAGAAACATCAAGACAGTTAAATCCATGACTTTTCTTTGCAGTGGAACAATTATCCTCATTCTGTTTTATTAATCTGAAAGCTCTGGGACACAATTAGTAAGATCAATGTGGTGTTTTTAACAAAGGATCCTGGAAAGCAATTAAAATCAGGTAGATTAAACCCTGAGAGTGGAGCAGGGAAGGCTCAATGCCTGCCTGTGAACACTGAGCGGTATTAAAAAAATGAAGACCTTCACATCTATCTTAAGCTGTCTGTTTAAACCGTGAACGCTTCCTTACTCAGGTCGCCAAATAGTTGCACTCCCAACGCAGCAAAGATGAAGAAGAGGAGCATGAAGAGGAGACCCAGATTCCCCACCTAAAGAGATAGAGACAGACTAAGTGAGGTATTGCTCTATTAAAGGTTTATCAGGATGGTACACAGCTATAAATGTGATTTATTTATTTACAAATAATCAGTAAAAACAAAGAAATAATAGACTCATATAAAGTGCACTTGATTGGATCACCGATATCTGATCCAGGCACTGTATAGATTCTGCACGGCTCTAGTTTAGACTTGTCTCTGTTTTGAGCTAAAGAGTTAGTAGCAGAGGTGTATACTGACATCTTTACTTACCTGTCCAAATAACACGCTTGTAAAATAAATAGTACAGATTAAACTACTCTACTTACTTAAAGTTTTAAATTGTTCAACAGAAAAATGAAGTTTTTGCTTTAAAAGATGCAAACTAAGTTATATAAAACATATTCCTATAAAAAAGTTATAAGCACAGAAAATATATTAAGTTTTATCTTTTGCTCACTGTGTTAGCAGAGAAAACATACAAAAAATTGTTTTAAAATTACGTTTTTAGACAGGAAAATATAGACTGAACTGAACAGAAGTCCTGCATAAGAAGCTGAATTTTAGAGTTCTGATATTCACAGCACTCATGCTGCAACATACTGTAGCATGAAAAATTAAGGAGAACTTTAAATATCAACATTTTGAATAAGAAAAATAATAATTAAGGGAAATGTATATGGAAGGTCTTGCATTTGAGAATCTGATCCCTCAATCAGTGTTTTCTAGATCCCCTGTCTTCATCCATGTCACTATCAATGTATTTCTATAAACAAACTGGACAGATTCCCTTCCTGCTCTTGATTTCCTCTTTTGTTGTGGCTGTTATGTCATGTCCTTTAAATATTTATAGAGTAACGAGACATTTTGGGGAAAGAAATAAATAGAAAGTACAGATATGTTTGTTCAAATATAGTGAGTAAAAGTAAAAAGTTCTCAGAAAAATAAGTACAAATAAAAAGTTACTTAGGTACAGTATAGTAACTGCGTATTTTTGTTAGATAAATTCTTGATCAATTAAGTAAGGAATTCAGACATAAAAACATTAGGCAGCATCAATTTGATTTTTCTGGGCTTTACTTATTTTTGACTTCCTTGTATGTCTGACCTTCGACATTAACCAGCTTTGAGTTCATGCAACTAACCTTTATTTAGCAGTTATTATAGTACAAATCTTACATGTGTTTTGAACCAAAGGTGGCAGCTGTTTATAGCTATATATTTAATCATTTGGTGGTTTTAAAGTCTTCTTTATTGCTTTGATTTTTTTTGTGCTTTCATTGTTGTTTGTAGCACTTTGAGATACATTAATGTGAAATGCATTAAAAACAATCCATCCATCCATCCATCCATCCATCCATCCATCCATCCATCCATCCATCCAT